CTCCTATCTTCTTCCACTGCATCAGGCAGGAAAACTTGCTATGGACCAGGCGAGTGCAGGTGGTGTGCATGTTTGGGATGGGATCAGTCATTCTTAAAAATTCTTATACTTCTCACTCTGCCAAAATGGTAAGATTACAACTCTGTCCGGATGAGAGAGGATCCAATCACCTTCTTTATTTTCTTTCTAGTCAATTTGGCAAAACTCACGTATTAACTCATTTCTCTTTCCTCTCTTTATTCCATGCTTCAAACTAAGGTATGTTAGAAAGACCTGAGATTTGGGATGGAAGGTTATCTCATGGCTTAAATTAGCATTCCTGGAATTCTACACTGAGATTTTAGGGATAAAGCTCTTCAATTTTGGTTACTTTGCATTGTTCCCTGTGGGTATCACTCTCCACAACTTAAGGTGGAGGGTGGCTGTGATCAAACGCAGATTCAGAAGTTTTATGTCAGTACTCATAACACTGTCTCATGGAACCCCGATCCTACTTTAACTCCTAACATCCAGTGTGATTTGGAGAGATAAAGCAAGGAGACAGCATCTGAAAAGCACCCATAATATAAGGACATGCCACTGACGTTTGCTGAATTTAAACTGCAAATGTGACTGATCATTTGCTGGAATTTTCCAGATGAAGGAAGTCGGCTCCTTTATGGGAAGCAAGGGCATGCTTGTAGGTAATGTCAAACCTCAAGGGCCACAAAGTTCTAGATGGAATGAAATCACCACCAAAATAGCTGAGCAGTTATGATCTAAGTACTGATTGGTAACACTGGCAAACTGTCCCAACCTGTGTTTCTTCTTGTGGTATTATGAATTTGAACCTAGCATCAAAGAGGAAACCCTGTAGCAGATCTAAGGAATCTGTATGGCTTGCCTGAAGTCTCTGTAAGGCCTGAAAAGTAATCAGTAACTACTTCTTAAAACCTGAGGTATGACTGACAAGCAGAACTGTTAAGACAGGGGCAGTACACGTCAGGACGATCTGATACACACATCCATACACACGCTGTGAGAGGATTCCTCCCGTCTAGCTAATTAACACACCCATCACCTGGTTTATATCGATATAAATAGACATATATACATTTGCTGAGAACATTTAAGTTCTGTTCTCTTAGCAAATTTCATATACATACTACAGTTTTATTAACTACTCACCATTATACATTACATTACACATTATACACATTTATTAGATGCTCAGACCTTATTCATGGTCTAACCAAAAGTTTGTTCCTTTTTACCAACCTCTCCCTGTTCTCCCCATTTCCTGGCAACCATTCTTCTAATCTCGGTTTCTATGAGTTTGACTCTTTTCTAAGGATTCCACACATGTGATACCATGTGGTATTTGTCTTTCTCTGTCTGGCTTATTTCACTCAGCATAATGTCCTCAAGGCCATCCATGTCACAGTGGCAGGATTTTATTCTTTCTAGTGGTTGAGTAATATTTCGTTATATATAGGTCATATTTTCTTTATCCATTCGTCCATGGACACACACACAGACTGTTCCACGTCTTGGCCACTGTGAGCAAGGCTGCAAGGAGCATGCGAGTGCAGGGATCTCTTCAGCACCCCGTTTGCGTTTCCTTTGAATACACACCCAGGATGTGGATTGCTGGATCACTTGCAGTTCTACTTTTAATTGTTTGAGAAACCTCCGTACCGTTTTCCAGACTGGCTGAACTAACTTATACTTCCACCAGTACTGCACAAGAGTTCCTCTCCCTCCACATCCTCAACAACACTCATCTCCTGTCTTTTGATGACAGCCGCTCTAACACGTGATATCTCACTGTGGTTTTGAATTGGATTTCCCTGACGATTAGGGGCATTAAACACCTTTTCACGTATCTCTTGGCTGTTTGGATGCCTTCTTTATAAAAATGTCTATTCAGTTTCTTTGCCTCTTTAAAAATCAAACTGGTTTTTTTGCTATTGAGTTGTGTGAGTTCTTCACATATTCTGGATACTTATCCAATATTTTCCCTCATTCTGTAGATTACCTTTTCATTTTGTTGATGGTGTCCTTTACTGTGCATAAGCTTTTCAGTTAGTAACTAATTCTTAATAAATGGAACTGCTGGGTATTTCTTTTGGCCTAGAGACACACTGTGAAATAATTACTGGGACACTAAGCATGCTGTGAATTGAGAAAGTTCGGGAACCCCTGATAGATAGTCAGTAACTACTTCTTAAAAATGAGAAAGTGAGAACCAGATTTCACTGCTGAAAAGAAAAGGCAAAAAGCAAACTTTCTGTAGCCATTAAAAGAGAAAATCATTCAAAGCATGGGAAATTCAAAAGCCAAGGAAAGGTGAGATTTTGTGAAGGTGCACATGGTAGACGTCACACCAATTGGTCTTCGATTAACTGGTTTTCAATAGGCTTCTAAGGACAACGGAGGCCTGGGAAACAGCAACTAGGGTCCCAGCAGTAAAGAGATCATGCACTCAAAAAGAGTTTGTTTCAAAAGTTGACTACTTACGAAGGTGTGATTAGGTAAAGGAACCAACAAAAATGGGAAGCATCTGAGGATTAGTAACAGCAGAAATCTATTACCACTCCTTGCCTGGATGAGCAAGACGTAACAGTTACCAAAATTCAGTGAAAACGGGGTCCTGGAAAAGGAAGTGCCAAACAGGAGCTGCCGCCACAGATGATCACGGCTGTGAAACAGGAGAGAGAGACAAGCCCCCTGACTTCCCTCTCTTCCTGCCCTCAGACCTCCTAACAGCGTTTCCCATTTCAAGTCAGAGCCCACTGGTTCAGGTTCGCAGCCGTCAGCCTCCCGAGACAGAGAGGCCAGTGAAGGGAGGCCGTGGGAACCCACTAGGGGGCAGAGAGAAAACTACCGCCTTGGGGAACAGTAACATCTGATTTCCGTTCAGGAGTCCAATGAGGGCGATTCTCAGCTGCATCTAATGCGACGAAGAGCAGGAAAAACCTAGGATCTTTGGGGAGGATGAGAAACACAGAGGAGAGTAAAGAGACTGAGATAATGGAGAACATAAAGCTGTAAATTTGTTTGAAAAGTCTGCCTCCTATAGATGCGGGTGACTCTGCTCCATTCACAGGGAGCAGAAGAAACAGGTCAACAATTATGACACTATTTGGTGCTGGAACAGTTA